AGAATAAAAAATTGTTGTCGAACCAATCTAGATACAGCGGGTGTAGAAAGTATTCGTACACCGATCAATTTCCAAAAAAACTATGTAAAATTGTAATTTATTAACTTATTTTTTATAAACAATGACATTCTACATGTTCTAGGAAATCTCTAGGATAAATAGATTACAAAAAAAAATAGCTATTTATGTAAGTTGCGAAATTAACAAGAAAAAAACAATTAATCGATAGAAATATTGAAGCAATAAGTATTCGGACAATTGTTTAAAAGTACTTTCCTGGAAATTTGATATTTTCTAATTCGCACGGACCAATAAACTAATGTGTCTACGTTACAAACTCTGCTGTAAATGGTTCATCATAAGAATCGTACAAATATTTTTACCCACTTTTCGCACTTTTTTGTTAATTTCACAAATTATATTAACTAGTAAATGTTGTTTGGACTATATCTATCTTAGAGACTTCGGAGAATATGTAAAATATTGATTATAAAAAAGGAAGTTAAGAAGCTACAATTTCACAGAAAAGTTTTTTGGGAAATTGATCGGTGTACGAATACATTCTACACCCACTGTAGGTTATTCTGCTAGGGGATTCATGCTGGAAGTTATGGTCGCGCTTTCTTCGAGCGCCATATGCTCGTGCTATCTGTTTCACCGTTGCACGCGATTCTTTATTTATTATAACAACGATAACGCATCTAACTGCGTTACTCGTTGCTCGCGATCGCGATTGGTCGCATTCAGGGAAAATTTCATGCAAAGTTATGCAATCGTCGGGCGTTGGTTCTCACGGTGGAGGAAACGCTTTCCAAACTGGTCTGACGGCATTGGTATTCATCTCTTGGACGTCGGAGCAACCGGAAATCGCGTTATGCGGCACGTGAGTTCGCATTCATGGAAACCGTCATGAAGCCTCCGTGATATTCGGTGCCAGAGATGAAAGAGATTCGGACTTTCCTTTCGTCCTAATTCGAGGGGACTACTTTGAAACGATGTCTTCTTTGGGAATTCATTTTAAGGAGATGAATGCGACTCCTGGTTTGCTCGCCGTACCAGTGTTCAAGTGTCCCTCGAAGAGCAAGGAAACTTTTTTCCGTTGGGCGTGTGCGTGTTAAAAATCAACCACCACGAGGATTCTCAAAGGACCGTTTGTAAGAATTTTAATAAAGAATGAAGATGTGGAGATTTTCGTGGTTCACTTTGAAATTACAGGTTTTTTTAACTCATTCAATGCCAACTATAAGTTTACATTAATTCCAATTAATCAAGAAATAAGTTTACCTTTCAGTTATGAATTACGAGAGAAGGAGAACGCATATTTGAAATAATAGTATGTATTATTTTTCAAAAGTCACAAATTTAATATAAAATGCCCACTATCCGTAAATAAAAATATTGTTTTCTCAGTCTTCAAGATACATATAAACATGGCCCAGAAGGGAAAGACCGAGATTACATCCGTTCTCTCGGAATTAATTCCCAAAGACGACCTTACTTTGAAACAATCGCCAGTCTCGGTTTCACAATTAGGCGCGTGCGTCGCGATTCCATCGGCGGTATTCCATATTTCAAATTGTCCTTAATGAGAGTGCCATGCATTCTGCTCATGGTAAAGAGGAATGCTTCCTTCATTGACAATAAGTGGAACGCTGGAAACAAGGTCAAGAGATACGAACTCTCTGAGCTGAGCGAGACATCCATTCTCTCGAGGCAAGGCCCGTGTGCTCTGCGATAAAAAGATCTCACGCAGCGTCGTTGGAAAATCATGGCAGAGCACTAGCGTTATCACACATAGGCCTCACTAACATTCCAGTGAGGATGGAGCTATTCTTCGAAACACCCAAAATCATAATTAGGAATTGCAATTCAACGAAGGCCTCCTCAGGAGTTTGATGAGGAATATTTATTAACAATCCCGAAGGTTGCTTCAATGTTAAATTCTTTTAAATAACTTGAAATTCAATGGTACGTTCTTGACGCCGTTAAATTCCAGTATAAGCGAGAACACATTCTTTTTACGTTTATGCTTCTAATTACGCTCTACTCACGCGAGAAGAGAAAGCAATTAAACATCAGGAAGAAGTTCATAGCGACTAACTGTTGTAATTTGCGGCTCAGAAAAACTTTAATACCTTCTTATTTGTTTCACGTAACCTTTTATGTTATAAATATTTAAATATTTCTCATTAGCTTCTTATGCTGCTCGTAAACTCTTCCCTTATGTTTCCTCTCGTTTACTATATTCCACGGGCGATCGTTAGGAACGCTAATAATCGCACGTTAATTAATCAAAGCAACGAATACATCGTGAATTATCGAAACGTATTTTGTCGTGGTCAGCAATCTGCATTCTTGGAACCTGATTCTACTAACGAACGCTCGAGAAATGGAGAATTGGTCGCGTCCTGTCTTCTTTGAGCAATTATCGCAGCCTTTGGACGTACACGGTAGCTACCGATGCCTCGTTTGTTTACGGCAACACATATTTCACCGAGAAAACGATTAACGACGTCGCGTAATTATTACTCGTAACCAACACGGATTAAGAGCAGCCTGGAAATCGCGGATGTAAGACGGCGTGGCGGTTGCAAATTGGACGATTAATTCAAATAGTTCCAGGTCCGTCGCGAGGAACACTCGAGGCAGGATAAATGAACCATGTTCCGCATTGAGAACAAGTATCCAGGCGGTGGAAAATAATTTCCATCGATTAATTTCTTACTTCGTCTCTTAATTTAACTTCGAGATCGCTCAACCTGATTCTAGAAGACGAGCAAGCCATTTATAGATCAGATGCAAAACAGGTGTACAGTTATGGGGATGCTTGAAATCTCAACAAAGTAGCAGATCTCGAATATTTTCAGCAACAATTGTTAACACTTTGAGGGAGTCAACAAAATGACAAATTAGAAGCGTTTACAAATTATGAATATTCCTGTTGCAACAACCAACAACAAACCATTAACCCTCCAGTTTCTAATCAATCTTTGAGGCTCTGCTGTAGCAACATCGTTATAGTACATGTACGTAGCTTCGAGTGCCAAGTACAACACTTCCTTAATGAAAACAAGAAAAACGATTCTGGCACATCATCCTGCCCTACACTTTCGATTTCCAATATCCCCGTCGAGCCACTCACTTTCGTATGCATACTCGGAATATTTCTAATTATACAAATTGCATCGCCACTGTTATCGTAACGCAAGATCGTCGGGACTGTCGGGAGCCTGTCAGAAAAAGCGCTCCTCGCGGTGAATATTCAATTATTAATATTCATAACCCCGAAGCTATTTCGTCGTCCCTGTTTTGTTCCTTTTCCCATCTTTATGCCAACCCTTGTTAAATATGAAGGTGCCATTCATCTTCGCGTACTGGGGAAAATTTCTAACGGAACGTCTGCACAGAAAAGAATTCCTTCTTCCAAAGGATCTGAAATGAAACTGTTCCATTGTGTTTAAAATTTAAATAAAAGCTTTGTATTCTTTTTGTAGAGTTTGAATAAAATTCTATTCGTCGCACTATCTAAGATACAAAAATCCAAAGAGTTAATAAGAAACTACATATTAGTAATAATACAGCCTTATAGCGAGAAGAGGACACCGTATGATTAATAGTGGAAACGAGGAAAATGAAAACAGCGGTTGGTTCAAGGGAAAACGTTAGACGTAGGTTAACTAATTAGCGCGTTAGAGATAAACGAGGGCCCGGATACCGTTACGTATCTCGCGAATGCGAAATGCTACCCGCAGGAATGATAATAATCTAACGATACACATATACACGCACGGGCTCGGACGCCAAGTGCACGCTTCTCTCGACGACGAACGTGTACTCGGTACGTTCCCTCTCACACCTTGACCTTCTTCAACCCGGGAAGTCGGGATCCTCCTCGGAGAACAGAGAATATGGTTGTGTGCGATGGCCAGTGTTACACTCGCCTCAGTGTCAGTTCATTGTCTCCCGATTCCACGAGGCCAATTTAGAAATTTCCTTTCGCACACTGAACTGTCCTGTTCTCCTTTTAATTCTATTCTATATCCATTTAATGATAGGAGCATACCTCGATTAGAGATTAACAGACTACTAGGAGGTGGAGTGTCAACATAAAATTGTTTAAATGTATAACACGTTTCAATGAGCAACAACGCCATGATACTATTTTTCGTTTCTGTTATTTCATTTTTCAAATCGTGTACAGTCCTGCTGCTGGATCCATTTCCATAGATCCTCGGAGGGATCACTCCTCAGAGTTCGCTACGGCCCGAGAAACTTAAGAAGCAGCCTCGTAAGTGAGATCCGTCGCAGAGGTTTCGATATAAATGTTTTTTGCAGCAGCAAATCCAATCCAAGCGTTCAGGCGAAGCATCGATTTCGCGAGGGACAGGTATAATAAACATCTCGATACGTATCGCATTTCAAACGTTAGCCTATGTTCTACTTCTGACCTCGATGGCTCCATTCGACGAGTGCCTGCAGCCATAAAACTGCAGGGTTTCGAGAAATTCCAACGCGTCCCATTTGTCACAGACGAAGATATATATATATATTAACTCGTTCGAAAGTCGACATTCCACGAGCAATTCGTGACTCTTGCACGCATTGAGATTCCGTTCGTCCAGTGTTTTACTCCCAGATACACAAACAATCGCAATGCAGCTGCTTTTTACTGGAGAAACAGTCTATCGGGACGACTTTCTAATTGAACTTGGACGCTTCAAGTTTTCTTTGTATAACATCTCCATTGGATATAGGTCATCCGTCTGACAAGGACTGGATTTCTTTCAATGATTCTGTGAACGTCACCCGAGGGACGTTATTTTTACGAGACAGACTTGCGTCTGATAAATTGACTAAACCGAATGAATTCTTCTTCGGAAACAACCCTTTTGCGCTTTCGCCAGCCTAGATAGTTACAATTACCTACTCTGACTTGTTGGTCGCCATTGGAAGGATTTAATGGCAACGCGTTTTCAGTAATGTGGAACAGTGAAACTCACCGTATGAGAGTTGATTTTCCGGCAGCATCTCGTCCTCCCCTGGCTGGAGGCGAACCTCCATCTTCCGCAGGCGCGAGTGCAGTTCCCTCGTGTGCAAGAAGAGAAAGAGGGTGCTGGAGATCGCTATCAGCGCGATCAGCTCGATGGTCCTGCAAAAGAAAAGAAACGGAATCAAGCATCTGTCCTGAGTTAGGTCTGGGTTAAACCCGATAGGATAGAATGAAAGATGAAAAGTATAGATAATGAGTTTTTGGTTTAGATCTTGGCAAGGTCCGGTTTTCAGTTAGCTCTGGATCCCTTGCAAAGTATAACAGTTAAGGGGGTACACGCAGTTGCTACAGCAAAAATTCAACAATTTTTCATAAATATCTAGCATTTGATGTTTAAATATCTAGAATTTGTCAGAATATCATAAATATCCGTCGCGTTTGCATGTAATTATCCTAAAGTATAGAGTCAATGAACTGATGAACATCAGCGACCATTAGAATCCTTTTCTCGAACTGGATTGTCACGAGTGGACTGCGATGTGGGTTGTCAGCGTCGAAGGAAACAGGGCATGGTAGAGTCATCTGTCTCGCAATTGATCATTCTGTTCACGGAGATGCTCTACGTGCGACCTGGTTTCCAAGGCAGGAAGCGATCTCACGTCGACCGTGAAAGAACCACCGTCGTCGTCGAGGAGATGCAAAACTGCGCAAGGATGCACCGGTGACTGCGCTCCGAGGCGTTTCTCTCTTTGGGTGCACGCCGCGCGGTTTATGACTTTATGGAACGGCTAATTAAGATGTGTCTTACTTTATGGTCCAAGAAGGGAATGTAAAAAGTAAAAGATCCTTGCGGTTCTCACGCACACGTGCGGCCATTACGAGTGTCGCTCAAACAGGATCGTCAAACGATCACTCAGCTGATTAATTGCGGTGATAGTGGTGAGGGATAATTATATGTGATAGTTCTATTTCAAGCTGTATTCATAAATGAAACAATACTCAGTTCGTACTTCGCGTCTTTCCATATTTAACGAGTGCAATTCTATCTTTATATCAAAACGACAGTATCTTTCGTATTCGATCCCAAAGGATCTTCGCCAGGAGATCCTGATAATTAGGCTGCGGATTTTAAGTATTTGTAACATGCCAAACGTAACCAAGAGGTACGTGCGTTATGCAAAATGAAATAACAATTACATTAAAGTAATTGTACAATATATCTTTTTGTGCGTTTTTCATATTACTGTATAAATGCATAAAATCTACCGATAATACTTCAATTTATCGTACAACATAACGATCCTAATAAACATTAAAAGCCTCAACTGTCCAGAGACGATACAATTCTTCCTGGCTACCAACAACCTTTGCGACCAAGTGCAACCCTTCACCCGCGCAAGAAGAACCCTCGGTTACATGTGTAATAGGTTCATTACTCTGTTGCAAGTTTGTACCATAATCTAAGATCTCTGGATCCTCGTCTACTTCCTTATTCTCCGCGTAGCATAGGTGGTCTTTATCTCCCGCATTTTTTCAAACCTTCGAACGTTGACATGCGCCACAGCGTTGTCGTATATGATTGTGGCGCGGCATAGTCGTCGTCCGCGACACTGTAACTGTACAAACCGGAAATTCCAGTAAACGTTTCTCGCGTGGCGAAACCAGGTCTCGATTAAGAGGGTCCTTCTCGTTTCGAACAATGCAGAATTCCCGTAGCGTCACGCTATACGCCTCGAGCAATTATGGAATGTCAGGTTCGTCTGTCGGTATCCTTTTCCAATTTGTTGGAGCCTCTGCTCGAACACTTCCGCATTGAAAGTCTATCACGCTGCGTCGTTGAAAAGTGAACAAACGTACAGAGAGTATTGCACTCGTAACGTATGACGCAACGAATGAAAATTTAATACTAATTTAATATCGGGACATTTAATTTGAACATAAATAGTGGAGAATGTTATGTCGCCGTTGGATTGGTTTCTGAGCCTCGTGCTGGTGTTGGTTCATTTAGAAACCTTTTTTCCGTGAAATAAACAGCGATGGAATAGATTGAACTTGATCATTTCTGGAAATTCAATCTTGGGACGATGAAATTAATTTCACGAAATTTGCGAATTTTTGTCATTTAGGTATTGCTGAGTCTTACTTCATCAAGAGATTATGATTATGGCATTGACCGTCTTCTGGTTGGCTATTAAGCTGCCCCTAAACACGTCTCAAACTCCATTATAGGCAATAAAAACCCCATGGAACAACGACATTAAAGGTAATTACACGCGAGGGCTCAACGATCGGCTTTCTATTATAATATCTCGGCAGAAAAATTGTAGCTAGTTTCCACAATATCGATAACACCGATTTAACGCTTGATTTAACCGAAAATCACTATATGTAACGTGGGACGCAAATAGAATACAAAAATATGTAGAAGAAGGATGTAACAATTTAGAACAAAATTATAGAACGGAGGAATTATAAATAAAACGTCTTAACATCTCTGAGAATCGATATTAGGAAGCAGTATTACACGCAACGGTGGTTATTCAAATTCAGGACCAATCAGGGTCACAAGAGGCTTTGATAACCATTGTTCCCGCGAACAGTTGACAATATAACAGCGTGGGAGAGCGTGATTGGCAATTTTCATGCAATCATACCTGCGGCTGAAGCTAATTGCTGAAACTGTTAGACACTTATGCAACGCGTTACGATTCCAACGGTGAGCTTCGAGGTTCTAAACTGTCGTGTCTCGTAGACCGTGAAAACCACTTATCGAGGTTCACCCTAAAATCGAAAAAGCCATCGTGTTAGATTTTTTTCAACGATAGCACGCTCCGGGGAGCACGATTAATACGTTGAAGAAACTCTACACTTCGAGCAACGGAGATCGCTTATCGAGGCGAGGAACAATGTTAATTGGTCAGTCGCATATTTAAGCAAAATGCTCCTCGTTTAGAGGTATTTAATATCGAATTAATCGTTGTATAATTATTAGAGCATTCCCGTAATTATTACTCATTAATGCCCGTCAATTACCAAGTAGCTGGTTATTAATTTGAAAATTATTTCATTACTACGATTAGTAACAAATGGGGCTCAATGGTTTCCTTGAAAATAATAAAACATGGGGGCGATTTTATTATAGTGTTGCACGAAGGAACGAAGGATCTTTGCGTAAAATGAATATTGGATAATCTTCTGTGAACGTTAGGACCTGGAATAATTTCTTCAATTCACAAAAAGAACAAAAATAATGAAAAGAGACATCCAACGTTGGTGTCTGAATAAAATGGTTGGAACACCTACAGAAGACTCAATTTTCTTCCGAATTGAACAATAGCGTCTCCTGCTCCCAGACTACAGATACAATGACACAGAATGACACGCTATTCTCTTTTTAGACACGGAATTTAGAGCTTCTCCATCCAAAAGGTCATCGACCTCTGCTGCTCACAATATCAAACTACGAATGTGTTAATCAACCATCGTCGAGAAGAAGTTGAACGAGCGTGAAACAAAGAAGAGCTGAAGAGGTCGCGTTAATCGGAACCATGATCCGTTGCCGGCTTCGAGTATCAGACGATCTGACCCTGTGGTCCCTTTAGCGGGTAACACGTGTGCGGTTTCCGGAGTCGTCGAGGCTGTATCTAATGCTCGTGAAATTCGAACGCTATGGAATAATGCGGGTCCGCTATGTGGAGTAATCGCGTTTCCATATACGAGGTCCTCATTATGCGCGACGATAACCTATCCGTGGTGCACCTATGGCTGGTACCACGCTGTCCATTTCCAGGGGCCTTCCAAAGGTCGGCGGAGGCTCCAGCCATGTATCTTTCAGAGACTCCTGGTATATTAAACAGCTGGAAATGTTATTGCTGAAGCTTCCTGGTATTGGATCCAAACGCATCAAATTTGCTGATTCGAAATGGTCGAAACTTGGATTTCTTGCATGTCTTACAGAAGGAACGCCTAACACCTCGCTATTACATTCAAAGAATCTAAATAAAAATTATTTTTCTACTATTCGATATACGCCTAATAAACGTTCAGTAACTTCCACTAAGTCAATAGTTCGAAAAAAATGTATTCGAAAAAAATTTTCTCGAGTACAACTATGATTTTTACGCGTCCAATGTGGTTTCCTCCCTTAAACAACTGGTAACGCTGTCACTGAATAATCCTATCGCCATGATACCGACACTGAATCGGTCTACCTAATCGTAAACCGACCTAGGCTCAACGAATTCAGCAACGCAGAACCACGTTCCGCCAAGCGTGTTCGTGCCCTGTTATAATGTAAAAAAATGCAGGAAATACAGCGATAGGCAATCGATTAAGGTGCTTGGGAGTTTGACTATGAAGCCTATCCCGTTTCTCGAGAAACCGCTCGAATGTTCAGCCACGCGCGCTTCGACAATCACGCTTGGGAGAAACAAGCGTGTGGCCAGATAAAGGAAAACGAGAAACGAACGGTATCGGTCACTAGACGCAGTGTCAACGACATACAGACCGTAAGGTCCAGAGAACAGTGTACACAACGTACAGTTGGTTTAAACGACGTGTCCAAACCAACTACACGCAACATTTCCGATCGGTAGAACGGGATCGGTGACGCGTCTACCAATTGGGAGTCGAAAGGCGCGAAGCGTGGAATCGTGATGTTCGTTATATAAAAATGCATAGACAAATGGACTGTGGGGTGTTTGAACAGATCCTGCGTCACCTAGCTAAAACTGTAGGTGGTAGCAATTATAGCGTGTGTCTCTAGAGGACGTGGGTTGGTTAATTGCAGCTGCCAAATGAAGAAAATGGTTGCTATATATTTTCAACGAATGTACAATTTTAATGCGAGGATTGGAAAAGGCGATTTCTATCTATATAGAAGGTACATTCAATTTAACACTAAACCTACCACGATCGGTCAAAGAACCGTTTTCAAACTTTTGTATACAGTTCTTATATGCAATATATGAATTATATGCAATTGTTGCATGCATTATCCAATTCAATTTCATGTAAAATATTTTTGCGTTATTTGAAAAAAGTGTCTTTAACCCTTAGAAGCCTTATTTTACAAATTAAATATTTACAAAGATATCAATGTATTTATAATTGGAACAATTTTGACAGCTGACGTTTACTTTTTTAACTTTTGTTCAAAAGAACATTATGCAGCGGTAACATAAATACAGCCAGATATTAAAAACAAACCAATTACAAGTGTACAATTCGATTTTAAATCAATCATTCGTTTCATTCCGGTAGAAATAGTTACACATGAACGTCTGTAGGTTTACTGTTAAAAAAATGTGGACTGCTAAAAGATCAAGTGAGATCGAGAATATCTGTTATTACGGATATAAGTTCTTCTTCTTAATTCAGTGATTCTCCCAAATACAAGGAAAAATGTCTACGTTTCCCTCATAGTTATGTCCCATTGTTTCCCATTTCACGATCGAGTCCAGGTTTAGGTGCAAGGACCGCGGAAGCACAGACGGCATTTTCAGCAAAGGGAAAGACTCGCAACGCGTGATTTTAATGGGATCGCTACGAAAGTGCAAGAACGGCTGTCGGTTTCAGCACGCAACCAGCTTTAACGCAAGCACGATACGTAACTTCCAACGCCCGTCGTAAAAAGCAACAGCAATTATGCACGTTTAAGTCCCCCGGCTCGACGATTCGGCGACTAAACACCGTTGCGTTGAATTCCGACGCTATTTCGCTACACGCTCTCGTTAACCCCCGGGAGCACTAGCTTTCCACTGCGACGTTCATTCGAAGCCTTGGTACACAGCATAATCCATTATTTATAAACGAATTTCAATTTTGAGGCAAAGGAATCCTTGTAGAATTTATTTCATTATTTATTAGTCCAAAGAGGGAGAGCACCCTTTGGTGCAAAAGATAAAGATGAAGAGGACAAGAGATATAAGAAAATATTACTAAAAAAATTATAGAAGAAAGATTAATACACATGAGGACCGTATTTTAGCCTCTTTAGTACAACCACCTTTGGTGCAAATACATAGATAAAGATGAAGAGCACGAGAGGTATAAGAAAGTATTACTAAACAACAAATGATAGAGGAAAGATTATTATACACGAGGAATGTCTTCTAATCTCTTGAGTATTATGTGTACGTTTCTAAAGAGGAGTTAATACATCCAAGTGTCGACTATAATTAAAAAGAAAAGAATAAACAGCAATTAAATAGCACGTAAGAAAGGAAACTCGTGAAAGGAAAATAGGAATAGGCATTTTCCTGCGCAAGCTTTTTGCCCCCCATCGCTGTAAAAACAACTCGCCGTCCCAGTTTCAGGAAACCCGCATCATGCGAGAGAATCAGATTCAGAATGCTCCGACTTGCCTATCCTTTAACTTTCCAACTCATCAATTAAAACGGAAGAAATTGGCCGGCGCGCACACACGCGCGTATGCATATGCTTAATAAGTGAAACACCATTAACGGTTCTTCCTGCTGTTTTCCTTGGCGTTTCCCAAGCAGATAGCTCCCCTCTTTTCTACCCTTTTAAGCAAATAGCACGACCGCGAACACGGCGAATCGTTTACCAACACCGCTCGACCGCCTGTTTATCATGTCAGCGTTGGAGCCGAGGAGAATGCCAGCCGATGAAGTACGTGCAAATTGCCAATATTGTTGGAAACGAATGGTCGCGATCGAAAGTAGATAGGAGCGTGACGTTTCTCCCAAGACAGTGAGAGTCCACGATAATAGCGGTCTCGCGAAACGACCGCCTCTGGAAACCATTACTGCCCGCCAGTGACATTGATGCGCTCCACGACTTTCAATTCTCGTAAACGTCCAGGATAATAAGCGCTACCTGCGCCAGACCTGGGTTGTCGACCTTCTAGATCAAAGAGGTTGCAATCGTGGCCAATGGATACAAGGACACCCGCAATACACACGTGCACTATTTGAAAAGTAATTAGAACACTCCGTTATTTCTCTCTGAATGAAAAGTGAGCATCTAAAGTGAGTTAAATCTTTACTTTTGTTAGAGTGCAACATGTGTATTCGTAATACCGTATACAGCAATGAAGAAATTGCAATGAATTTTTATGTTTTAGAACTTCAATGTCTGTAATAAAATATTTATGGATAAGTGAGCTGCAACCCATTCGATGAAGCGTGATATCCTCCACCCCGACCTCATCTAAGAGTTATCGCATTATGGTTATCTGTATATTAACGAATCATCGATACTCTAGCGTGTCACGAGCCTCGTTCCTATGTCAAACATTCAGTTCTCTAGTGGAGAGCGTAGAACACGCACCGTGTTTCCACTTCGCCAAAACGCTAAACTAACAATTTAAAAGGAGTTTTCACGGACCCTCAAAGTGTTCTATTACGACACTGTTCATATTTTTAGTGTGTCTTCCAAAGCTGTTTATATTCACGGATCAACTCGTTCCTGGACAAGGTTAGTCGATATGAACTTTAAGATCAGATTTTATTCATCCATTTATTATACGCGAAATTTTGCATTTGAGTTACTCAATCGTGAACTTTCAAAAATTATTATTTATCTTCCTGTCGTAAATCACTCCAGCTCTAGAAAGTTTCTTAACGCTGAAAGTGACGACAAAGTTCTCAAAATTCCCCGCGTGGAGCAACTTTCAGCAAACATTACGTAAACTTTTTATTTCTGCTACATAAAGTATTTAAATCTTACTAAAAATCCTTGCCCGAGAAAATCATCGCCCGAGAAACTAAATTAAAATTCCTAGCCTGGCCTCTTGGTGTCACGAACGTTCGTATCAACGTTTAATTAGCTACTTAACGTTTTATTCACGACCCATGTTATAAGTCACTCGGAGAGATGGTTCATATGTTTCCTGCATATTTAATAACTGTTCCGAACCTTGACATTTAATGTCTTGCATCGACAAACCGGAAAAATTTCGGGACACTGATTTCTCGAGAACTATCGATGAATATTACAAATCGTAAAAAATTTGGAACAGCAGCGTATAATCAAAATTTCTCTTATTTATAGAGTATATCCTTTTCCCAGAAAGTTTCATAAATCGCTCCTGCGTGTTAACCTGCTAAAGTTCCTTTCGAAAAATTCTTCGTTTCCCTGTGAGATATTCCATATCATAAGCGTTTAGTATTTTTATCTAGATTATCCAACAAACGTTGGAAAAACGCTTGAGAAACACTACTCGATAGTATGTACGATACATAGCTAAACCAACATTCTTTTGTTCGAGTAATGAAACCGTTTCCCAAAAGAGGTACCGGAAGTTGTCGACGCTATCCAAAGCAATTATCTCGCCCCGGTCGCGACGACATTGCGGAAGAAAGTGGTCATGAATTTAAAAGGGGTACACGGGGCACCGTCGTTCGCGATTCTTGCATAATTCGCATTATTCTGTGGTCCAATCAACGTGATGGATCGATTTGTTCGCAGTTGCAGCGCGGTACAGACCTCGCTGAATGACCTTTAATCCATTACATCGGCCGTGCTCACTATGGAGATACATCTAAACGTCATTTAGGAATGCTTCGATCCGTCTTCCTCGTTAAATGAAGTTCTTAAATGCGGCTGGGAATAATTGCGAATCGATACGCGAACCGGTTGCACGACGAACCGAATAACGAAGCTTTTTCATCTGTAGTAACGCGTGTAACTGATTTTTTCTCTGGTTGAACACGAACGACGACAGAGTGATGTATGATTTTTCGTTTGTGGATTCTTTTCATCTTAGAGTGATTTTCTTCGAGTGGATCGTTCTACATTTTTTATTGGAATAGGTCTGTCGAGATTGTTTGAAAGAAGCTTTGCAATATTAAAGTTGTCTGAAACTTTTTTGCGTAAAACTGGGAAAAAATTACCTTGGCCTAACCCAGATCTAACCCGAACTACACTGCACCTAATATAAAATTTATATACTCAGAAAAAATTGATAAAATTAACAAAGGCCAATTCTGCTTCAGCCGTCTTTTAATCGATTTACCATATAATTTTGTATGTAATTCCCAAGACTCAAACTAAACCAAGAGTAAATAGTTCCTCATCATTCGATTGAGATCAAAACAATTTTTCTAATTGTTGAAACTACATTAAAATAAAGAAATTCTTCCTTCCACGTAGGCAGTCAGCTACCAAGGAGTAATTATTTACCATGGCTCTTCCTAAGTATAAATCTTTATAGATTAGCTCAACCTCGTCTCCACCTTGCTATCGGGACTCGAAATCCTATGGGAGCGATTCACCGTGGACGATTATTCGGGCCCATTAATAATTCACCAGCCATCGAGATAAAAAATGCCCGATTCACGTGTCTATAAATCCGAGGCTTTCAAGCGCGATAAAGGAGCAGAAGAGACACATTATCTATTAGCAGGAGAACACATACGTTTGCTGAACCCGTCGGTATTCCGGGGTTAAGCATTTTAGCGCGCAGAACGTTGCCTGATAAATCTATTTGAGACGGGAGGCCTCGGCTCTCACGCTTTGTACTTGGACGAGCAATGTATCAACCATTTTCCTATTTAAAAGTCCCCGAAAGATTTTTACGAATCGCCATTGTTTTATTCTAAAGAGGGAGGAACCATTCCTTGCGTCGTTCCTTTATTATACTGTTTCTGAAGACGACCAGAACATGAAATAATCGTCGATGAAGCAAGGATCTATCAGCGATGAGTTATCATTACCGTAAGCAGTGAAAGGCGTTTGTCCCAAAGTTAAACGAGCTGGTTATCGCGTGGAAACATTTTACTAAACGACATTTGTCGTTTCGGTGATAAACACAAGCAACGCCAACTCCATAGACGCTGGCTTGGAAAAAGTTAATGGATCGAAGTTAATAAATAAGATAAAAGTATGAAACAAATATTGCTATGTGCAAGAGCAGTGAAACAACGTCTAAAAAATCTCAAAATTATTTACTGTATGAAAATTAAGAAATTCATACTTGATGCTTCTAAGAGACTCCAACTTACTATTTTTCACTTAGAGACAAAATACTACCGTTTCCAGTCACGCAATCGCGGCATGCCGCACATGTCGTGATGTCACGATACACCTGTCTGATCCTCATTGAAGTAATCACTCTTAACTTTTACCGCAATCTAAATTACTCCAGCCACTTCTCGGCCTCACCGCCGCTCTAATATAATCTATTGTACGTTTCAAAGTTTCTAAGAATTCAGACGTACCTATCCGTCTTAATCATCCTTATTATATTCCTCGTAGTACATAGTACGAGCCAGCTGAACGATTTAATGATGCCAAACAACGATTAAGGCATTGTTCCGCGCCGCGGAGAAATTACGATTAGCTAGATACAGTTAAATGATAATTGTGGCAGCTTCTTTATTCCATTCCGAAACACGACAGTCGAGTAGACGGACTCGAGCTTGTAGTCAGCGACTTATTCTGTACATTGTTCCGCGGTTAAACGACTAAGCCCTGTTATCGCATGGGATGATTTCTCTGAAGGGATTCTCTGTATTCTTCCCGTTGATGAATAGCGAATAACCAAACGATAAGGAATTCGAGAGACTTCCAGAGGATTCCAATGAGACCGGTTAAAATTGATTAAAACTATCGATCGATCTAAAGGGACGATTTTCGAAGGCGATAAACGTCGTTAACACGTGAAAAGTACTTATTGAGCATAGTCACTTTCCTAACGAACGACTAACGATACAAACGATTGCAGATTTTTTTTCGCTAGTCCAAGGTCCGAATACAGGGGTCACTTATAATCAATGGAGGAATAAAGTCTGCCATGGCGCAGAGAAATCTCGTTTAATGACTCGCATGACCTGTTGAAAAACTGTGAAAGCTAATTGAAAGGCTTTGAACTGGACGCGTGATGTCTTTCAATGGTGATTAACACAGAGGATCGTAGAACGCAGCGAGGATGAACGGAAGGCGAGAAGTGTTCAATGGGTGTATTGATAAGTAAGGAGGGACCTTGATGTATAGGGTTAAATAGCAGAGACAAAAGGAGGGGGGGGGTGAAGTTATGCGTAACTCTACGCATTAACAAAGACGTTATGTATGAAATCGTGGCTTAATCCTTACCTTCTTCTTTTAATTTATTTAATCTGCGATTTACTTAGGCGTACTTTATCCTGTACATACGTTATGTTTACCACGTTTCTGTATCCTTAGTATAATTATCCCTGGCATCCTCCTACACCTTGCTCGGACACGCACGTCGTTTATCTTTGTAAACTTTCATAGATACGTACAGTAAGACCCCGTTTAACGCTGTTTCAGTATTACGCGGTAGTATTTGGTAGTTTTTTTCAGTTTGTACAAAATGATTTAAATTTTGATGGAAATTCAAAGGCAATAAGAAGTGTCATTGATGCGAGGTCTTGCTATCGACAAGTGCTTGCTGAATGGAACAGGCCTAGACAAACGACTTTAGATGACTTTGTCACAAAAAAGAACATCAAATAAAAAATATCAGATGAGGAAGAACCTTCCTTGTTACAAGCATGACATCTTTACTCGAACGTTTTTTGATTTTCATGAATGTTGTATGAACGAAAATAGATATTAGCAATAAATAAGTGTATAATCGATGCAATAAAAAACAATTTAACAAATAATGTTACAAACTAATACAAAGAAAGAACTGATAAATTTTCTTATTCTTTGGTCTGTTTCACTTATCCCCATTATTTACGTGTTAGGATGACCTTCCCTTATTGGAACGCATCTCCCGCGTTAAGCGGTGTCTTACTGTCTATTCTGCGTTAAATATTGTCTATGCACTGCCATCCTAATATACGAGATCCATAATACACCCCCACAGACATTTGCAGAATTTCAAAATAAACAATGCATGAGCTATACGTATGAAAAAATATGAAAAAGCAAAGCGTATCCCGTAAATTTGCCCAAGTTATAATCCGACTGACCGAAGGAATCGTGCAAGAGTTTTTGGCCCGAGTAGAGAATGGTTAACGTCGATCGGAATCGGTATAATTAAACTCACCTCTTCGGAACAGGCACCCGCCTGTGCTTCCACACGTTGTCGTTCAGCATCGTGTCGGTTGGTCCCTCGGGGGCGATCTCTCAACGAACAATGCTCGCCTCTTCGACGTCGATCGGATCCTCAGATCCGAGACGGTCGAGCGCGACTCATCAAGCGGGGGACGACGGCCGATTGATCGCGATCGGTGCACGCACGCTCTTCCTCTCGCGACGCGTTAACAGTCCTCTCTCAGACTTATCGCACCGATCGATCACTGGAAACTTCAACAACTGCGAACTACCGGACCAATTCTGGATCGATCGATCGATCACTGACGCGCTACCAAGGGAAGAAACTTCCTCATCGAGAGCCTCGAGAGTTCGTGGAACAACTACTTCACTGGAATAAATATCAAAGTTCCTAGATCGAGTCGAGTCTATTCTCGCAGGATTTTCGACGATTTTCGCCAGGACGAGCGACGTGGATCGGCTTGAACTGGTTCGTCGAGCGTTTGGCGATGATTTTCTGTCATCGATGCCTGACAGAAGCGTGGGACAGGCGATCACAGCGGGTCATAGCGTCCTATCCGTGCACACTGTCGGCTGGTCAGCACGCGACTGGCGGACCATTCGTCGAGCACCGCGATGCGAGTATTCCGCGCGAAGAACGGCGCTCGTCGACGACACGCGATACGCTCTACTCTGCGCCCGCTCCGTTACTCAGCCCCCGTAACGCGATTCTACTCCACATTCGGCCCGCGAACCTTCTCCCCCCTCGAACGACCTCTTTCGTTCGTAACGCGAAAGGCGCCACTTTCCTGGAAGAACAGCGGGCGCGAAAACCCGCGCCCCGACTCTGAACTTGCGGCTCGGGTCGAGACATCTCTTCCTTTCCACGCGCAACCAATCGATCGTTTCGGTGACTCGTTGTTGGCCATTTTTGTCATGCCGTGCATTGTGACCTACGGGAAATTAGAGAAGGGTTTAACCTTTTGCACTCGGAGCCACTTCGTTACAGAATGTGCAAATAGGAAAGCATGTATTGGATTGTCCAGAAAGTTCGTGGCAATTTTTAAGAAAACTTCAAAAGCACATTTGAATTTTGATACATATTTATTGAATTATATAAATATCATTTTGTTCCACGACCTTTCCACTTTATAAGGGATGCACCCATGTTAATTGTTTTTGACCATTCCAATATAAACAGACGTGTACCACCTATCAAAAATCGGCACGGACTTTCCAGACAAACTAATAATTTACTGCAATGATACTTGAGCTTATATGTATCTTTAGACATCTTTAGAACATATTTATGTTAAAAATCAAAATTTTGTACTATTCTGATACGTGATAACGTGCGAAACAGTCATAGATATGCATTGATAGTTTCAATCTTTTAAGTTGCAATCTTAGGCTTCCTTGTTTATCTTCACAGATTGCACCATGTCGTACAAAATATGTTCCCACATCTTACTTTCTTAGACAAATGCTCTTTGTCGCTCTTTTAAGTCGTAGACTATTCACACATTCTTTTTCCATGTAACACAAGCTCATATTTTTATACATATCTTAACACATGCACTTTGATATTTGAATAGATACTTTCAAGAAATCGCGCACTTTTACAAATTTTATGCTCCCATAAGTTTATCCTGTGTAATCACTAGACTGCGGATCTTTATGCACAATAAAATCTTCGCAAACGTGCCTACAAAAATTGAACCCAAATAGGAATTTATTTTATTCTGCAAATATTATAACGTGAACTTTACTTTCAATCTTTTTTATATTCTTGCACATTGTTTGTATTTTGTAGGTTCTTGCACATTCAAATTCCCTATAAATGCATAAAAATCCGCAGTTTAGTAAACACTAATAAAGTTTGCCTGGACTTACGATGTCCCTTCAGAAGAGACATCTGATGACGATGATCATGGTGATTGTGTTGATTATATATAATACTGGTGGTTAACACAACGAGAGTGAGCACATAACGATGGCTACACGATGACGACGACTGTGTAATAATTAGATGTTATCCAAACTCATATTTTTATAGATTCAGATAAAGAATTGCGATTTAAACGAAAGTATGTATTATCTTCTACACAGTATAACATCTATTTTACTGTTGATATTTTATATATTTTTCCAATTGTGCACGTCTTCTTACATTTTCGCATATTTTTACTTGACGTAACTGCATAATCATCCACAGTCTAGCAATAACAATGACAATTCGAAGATGTCTCTATGTTGACACGTACACAATGACAAACACGACAAAACAATCTTCCGAACGCATTATTAAAGCTCATCACCGAAGTGAATTAAAAAGTCCCAGACACTCCCAATAATTATGTTTATAAATCAGCTATATTCTTTGCCATGGAATTACATAATCTCTACAAGTGATAGAATCTCTACGTGCTCCAGCATATATAGTCAACCTGAAAACATTCTCAAGTATAAGGTACAATATAGCTTCCAGGAAACAGAATATGCATGCATAGGGTGTGAACAATATTTCATCGATTTCTTATGCTTGCTATCCTCCTCCACTAGAGGGTGAAAAGACCATAACTTGCCAAACGAACGTTTGTCTCGGGTAAGATTGCTAAAGTCCCTGGCAATTAAAAGAAGCAGTGCCTCTGGGTGCCAACCGCTTGTCCCACTTTGTCTCCCGTTACAGTGCGTCACTGTGTACCAGCGATCTCTATTTCATGTGCACTCAAATACACGGATACATTTACATCCACCTGTCCCTATTTTAATTCGTCGAAGCCATATATCTTCTGCTGGTAATACATCTTTCCAATGATTAAGATAGCAGAGCCGTTGGTGTGCTAGTTATACTATAAGCGTATATTACCTATAGCATAAATTGTACATATGAAATGAATGTACATATGAATTAAATCAAATAGTTGATATTTGATAAATTTTTGAGAAAAAAGACTGAGTAATTTCACCCCTGAATATCGCGTGAACCACTATGTTTACACCCTATATAAAATGTTTCGGCGTAGCTTCCAAGAATATCGTCCGGAAAGAGGCACTTTCGTGGAAAGATGCAAGAAGCGCTGAAACCAGCCGATCTTAGATAAGGCATAACCTGAATGTGCGCTATGCATCGGGGCTACCATTAACCAATCACCACCCCCGTAATTATTGCCCGCACCGATCGGAATCCTCCGTTGGATAGATCCTGACTGGCCCGTAAAAATAAACGTATGGTAAAAAGCAAATGTTGCATTTCGGCCTCAAGCTATCCTAGGTTCATCGAGGTTTTACTAAAAGCTTCCATTGCTAAGGGTGTTTTTAGATAACAATCTCGAGTCAGGAAATGTCTGCCAATTGAAAAACACTTTTGTCGATCGTAAGTCGAAACACGATTACAGATTTGCGTTAGCGCGAAGAAAATTTTGTCGAAGCTGGCGGTGCCCGGTCGTTATTTATGCAAGCAGGCAACCCAGGACAAGCATTGACAAGTAATAATTTGAGCTCGCCCGCGCTTGTCACGCTTTGCACTAATTAAAATTAATTTCACTACGCTGGGGCCTTTAACGATCCGTACTCGTCGAGGCCGAGCTCCAAACGAAGAATCCTCCGCACATTTTGCGAGTCTTTTTACACGTTTCCTGAGCGAGTTTCCAACCGCGGATAATTAGAACTTGTTCGAGTATCGTTTCACGTTAACCCATTACGACCGCCATCATTTTTCAGACCTCTGCATGCGTGCTATTAAAAAAACAACTAGTCACAGATCCATGCAATTATTCAATATTAAATAACTCGACCTTAATCGGCAGAAATTCATTTTGCAGTGTATTTTAATTACACCCACTTTCATTTAAATCTCAATTCTTTGTTGGAATCCATTAAAATATGAATTTGCATAAACATCCGCAGTCTGGCTATCAATCTTCCTTGTCTTCTTTTTAAATTTATGACTGAGTCGATTGCCAAACTGAATTTTCAAGTGGAATAATTCGTTGAGAAACGAATAAAATTAATCTTTTAGGTAGCTATTTTTTTGTTCCAAGTCAGCGCAATTTTTTTCTACTCCTTGTCTTTTGTAGAGGGTCTTAACGAATGCAAAGAGAAATTCAGCGTCGTCAAGCTTGAATATTCATGTCGTAAGCGTGTAAAACTATCTTGTACAAAAATCTCCGTACAAAGTCGCCTTTTATGTAACGCGATTCTCTATTGATATATACGTTCGAAGTGAAATCAACAGCAAACAAGTGCTTGTTTCAGAACGTTTTCTAAACGCTGTACTATGTGGACACGTAGCGTAGGGATGTCACGCGACATTTGAGTTGAGGCATGAGGTATGGTGCATGTTCGATGAGAATTACACAGGCTCGTGGACGCTCCAAGGTTCCATCGTCATGAAACGTTGGATCTTGATTTACGTCCACTGTGTACATGTATTGGGTAGGTATATTATACTAGATTGAGCTTGAAAATGGAAGTAAAACTAACTTTAGCTACTGGAGCTTTTATATCTGCTTCATATTAACTCGGGAATACGAATTCATTTTTCTACACCTTTGCCAAGTATATAAATTAAATTGATAAAATTGATTAACCGACTGCCCCGCGCTCTACTAAATTCAAGAGTATGAATTTTCTAAAGTGTCCATCGAAGAATACTTTGAAAATCTTCTACTTTTAATAGGTGCAGCCGTTCTTTAAACAAATCTTCAATAAAAAATGTGTTGAAAACCTTCACACTAGAATGAAATCAATAAATTTCACGGTACATTGTCGGTAAGTATTCCCATAACAATGTTCACTGCAATCTTCCAATTACACGTGTGGAACACAAATAACCTACAGTATATGAAGAATATTTTTTCCCTAGAGAAAAAAAATTTAGGATCGTAGATATGAAACGACTAGTCATGTCAGGCTGTCAGTTCCGATACTGGAGGTTCCACTGTATCCGTTTCCGTGAGGCATTCAACGGGACACCAAAAGGGGGGAGTTGCATAAACCGTACCCTTTCGCACAATTAAAACGAATCTCGGCGGAATCGCGAACGGAGGACGTTGGAACGATCGCTGGCTGAAGATAATTCACGGATCCTTTCGGTATATTTCTAAGCCCTTCGGTTGCGCGCTCTTAGCTTAGATCTTCATGCCCGCTTCCATACGCGCAAACTTAATTAACTCGACACTGCGGGTACCAGGCGTGCCTTTTTTCCCTTTCTCTCTCTCTCTCTCTCTCTCTCTCTCTCTCTCTCTCTCTCTCTCTCCAGATAGCGCACCGTGAGAGAACTACGAAGCCTGAACCTTGCCTCTTGTGCTACGTAATAACCGCGATCCGGCGAAGGATCAGTGGTTCTCACCTGCACCTAGAGGAGAGGAAGGGTTAGGGGACATTAGCCCTTCATCAGCGAAACAAAAATACCTAAAGTAACCTCGCAACACGAGACACTGAAGTTAAATGGGGGCTTCAAGCCTCATGAAGCGTAGAGGATCACTTGCATTACGTTTAATCGTGATTATTTTTAGTAAAATATGAACAAATATGTATGCAACACCCCTTATGAATATGACAGAAAAATCTAAAAGAATACCTGAAAATTGACAATTCAAATGCCCCCTTAAAGAGGCCCAACCACTGTAATAAACATTGTACTACAATTTCTTACATTGTCAATCTCCGATTTGGATATCCGTGACAATGATAGCCAATGAAGATTGACAATATTCCTCGAACCTTAAGCGTAATAAGCATTAAGGTGCCCCTACACTCTCGTAGGATCAATGTATGGAAGAAAGGATCCAACGTTTCCGAAAGTGCGACGACCTCGGGACAGGAGAGTGTTCGTCCCGGTCCGGTCACGAACATTTCAAATTGGTCGTAGAAATACCGCCTGGGGCCGCTGGAATTTATTCCCAACCGGACGAGGGAACGTTGGAGATGCCCGTCGAATGATGTCGGATCACGGCCTGGAAACCAGCGAGTGTCATAATGGCGTTAACGGCCAGTTTATAGCCGAGGGAACACCTGACTCGCGCCTTTCTGGTTCACTCGATCTTCTCTTTACTTTTGACAGTGTTCAACCCTTTGCACTCCGAATTTTCTAACCTCAGTACGTCACCTTAGTACCTCAGCCTCGCTCGACATAAGACCTTAAAGGATTAATCCTTTGCACTCGAGAGGTGACTCTCAGTCACCATTAAGTTTCACGCAGCAAATCTATCAGCAATAATGTTTCTCTAGGTTTAATTTCTTTGGAACTCGAATTGTCAATAAAATGATTTTCGGCGCGGTAAAGGTGATCTGATTCTCAAATCTCGATAGCTTAGGATTCGTGGCAACAGAATGCGAAGAAAGCATCTCGAGTTCCCTAGTATCTCCTAGTAGATACTAAAACAAAGGCCTCGAGTGCAAAGAATTAAGACAGACTTGTCAAACACCGTGATCTGATCTATGACGAGGATTACACCGATCTCTTTCGGAGATCTAGCACCATTATCGATGTTGCACCTATAACTTCTGAGAGTGGGGTAAGCACACGAGACCCCTGGCGTCTAATCATTCTTTCAGTAGCTGCGTGCCCCCCTCCCCTGCTGACTAATTATTTCTTTAGTGAAGCTTCGTACCTGACAGGATGTTTTGAAATGGAAAACTATGAGTACTAGCTCAGTACCTGGAAGCTTGAGGCGTTTCAGCGGAGATGCAAGCGAGGAATAAAAATGTGTAAGATGATACTATCGAGAGACTCGGAGGAATACCATCTGAACTGAACTGAATTACCGATCTAAAAAATAAATCAATTTTTCCATGACTCAACAATACATGTGAGAATATAAGTCCGACACAATGGTTTATTACAATGGTACCGAAGTCAGGAGAGATACAGTACATAGATGGAACCTATGGGACCCACAAGAAGATGGCCATTGTTGGTACTTCCAGCTCGGCCGTCCAACTGCTCAATAATATAAATAAACTTCTACCTTTCTTGAACCATGTAACACTTCCTTATTATATAGATCCATCTCGTAGGGCCCCCCGAGCGAAGAGAATCGCAAGAAGATGGCTATTCGGCTCACTCGTTCGGTTACCCAGTAATATAAATAAACTCCTTACCTGTTCAACCCCCTGTAACACTTCTTTTTCAGGCCACCATTGTCAAGGAACGTTGACTTACATTTTTCACCGGTGCCCCAGAAAAAAACACAGCGTGGCGCCCTGCGGGGGGTTGAGCGTCTCTATTTGTGCCTACTCTCAAAGCGGTGCAAAATGCTTCGAAACGGTAGGAAAAATCGATTCACAGTCGACGTGTAATTTCCTCGGTTTTCTCCAACGATCGCGTTAAAAGGCGGCCGATAACGTTTCGCCGCCAAAGACGACGCGAGCCGTTCCCGTCTAGGAAAGAAACGGTCCGCGTCGATTTAACGCGATGGAACAGATCCAGCCGTGTTTGACGACCCTTGGAGTCGACCAAGCCCGATCGATCGGTCATGCTTAACCGAACGTATAATCGATAGTGGAACAACCACGACGAGTAGGAGCATGTCGCCGCGGCTGGCTGCAGCAGGAAACGCGCGGCGTCGAGGTAGTAACGAGTTCTTGAAATTGGCCATTGATTTACCGGACGATCGACGATCGACGGGATCTCCTTGATCGAATACCGGTCGCCCGTGGATCCCTTTGCTCGTGAATTGCCAACGACACGCGGCCAAGTAATTGTTTCCAAGTGATTCTACGCACGAGTTGTTAGCGCCCGCGTCTCGCCTGTTTGTAAATAGGCCAACGACGATCCGGTAGCACCGCCGGCTGGTGATCTGGATTAGGTTCACAATGGCGTGCAATGAGTGTCTCGAAATGGTTGGGTAGGAGGTGATCGATTCATCGCAGTGGTTCTCGTTTCGAGGAGGATTCTTTCTCTTCGACTTTTGGAATGTAAACTTCTCTCACGTTTGAGGTAGTCGTAAGATGATAAGTACTTAAAGAAATAAAATGGCCAGGCTGTCTACGAGCTCGTGTATCTACTGGAGCAATTTTTAGGAACTAGACAAAATTCTAGATAATCTTGACACTAGGATTTGACCTTAGAGTTGTTTATAAAATTGCTGAATTATGACCATCGAGATTTTACTGCAACTTTTAGTAAGAATTATTGGAATTGGAAACTAAGCACCTCTCCACTCTCTATTTTCAAAGATATAATAGAGTGGATATAAGTATCAATTGAGCGCTGATAGTTTTAGTGTTAATCACGTAGAAGAATAAAGAAAGGCCTAGCTCAGTAATGTGGTGTATGATTTTCCAATGAGAACCTCAAGATATAGCATTTCCCGACGCTTTTACCTCAACAATTTCAGAAGAAACCGATATTTCCCCTCAAAAAATGACCTATTAGAGACAAGACTGTCTCAATAACAACGATATTGCTTCACAACCGACGAGCTTGCTCGCGACGAAATTCACAAGGAGTCTTCGTGACACGGTAGAAAATCACGTATTCACGGCAAACAATTTCAGACTTCGAAGTCCGAAGGCTCGTTTATCGAACCACGCCACGTACCGAACGCAAACAATCGTCGACGAACAGAGGGAGTTCGCTACGCTACGTATGGCAACCTCTCGCACGTATCCTCGTGCTTTAAAGGCGTCTGTATTCCAAATGCTTCCTCGAATACCAGAAACATCGTGGCTTCCCGTCCTGTTCGATCCATTTTCTCACACGTACCGTGAATTTTCTAGTTCCCTTCGCGAGTGTAAATAAAAGAACCACGGCGGCGTACAGCACTGAGGAACCCGGCAGGCTATTTTAATACTCACAACAACGTTTGGGACTTGAACTGAGGCGATCTATCATACACTGTAAGCCCACAATTTCTCACAGCTGTTGGGTAACAGGTTTAAGATAAACACGCAGCAATTTCTTAGAAGCGTTGTAGAGAGAACTAAGCAGCATATGCACCGTTCATTATTCACCCTGGGAATCAATTGATGTGCTATCTCGGGGCCGCTCGTCGCTTTATAGTTGCAACTGAAATTATCAATAGAGACGTGATCCCAAGTGGAGTTCCTAGGAAACGTACTTTTGTAAAATGTACATTTTGAAGTATCGTCAGAAAAACTGAATAACAGTGGACGGCTTATCGAGCGCCGAATAGAATCATATCCGAATAATCGATATTTCAGATAAAATTGTCCAGCTCCGTTTCACAGACGTGGAAGAGGTGGGGAGCGTTGGTCCATCGAATAAAACGAATTAAGAATAGAGTGTGTTCGATTCAAGGATGGTCGCGGCGCCTAGACTTCCTGCTCGCTGACAGTCGATACGTGACGTGATTTTGCCTCTAATAGCCAAGCAGGGGAATTTAACGAAGTTCCAGGAACGCGCGAACGGCCCTCCGGTCTTTTTGTACTCTTAGCTGGTCGTCGTCTCCCACTCAGGCCCGCTAAATCGTCAACACTCGCGTTACACGCGTGTACGAATCCGCTGGATCCTCGTACACACTTAAAATCTGCTAGGTATAAAGGCCTGCAAGACCTGTTTCCGCGATAGCCGTGTCCCGAGGAATCCTGTCGCGAGCTGCTCGCCAGGAATAGACACCGGGACAGTCCTTCTCAGTCCGCAGCTCAGCACGGTTTTCGGAATTACGACAGTCCAACCCTTCCAAGGTAAGGGACCGTGTTTCTATCTTCTAAAAAGGCGTTGTTCCATCCTTCTGCGAATAATATTCGGCGAAACGGTTGCTAATCTTTCCTCAAACTTAGTGAATTTGCGTCATCAAACTCGTGGAGACTTCTGCGGTCGGTGTCCTTTATTAACCTCAGGGAATACATTTTTTCTCTATTAACTCCACGCATTTCTACACTCTTTCAGGTTATTTCGTTTAATTTCCTTAATTGTTTGATTCAATTGACGTTTAATTTCGAGGGTATGCATTGTGAACGTTTAGTATACGTTTTCCATATTTGCAGACACTTTAATCTCTTGAGGGATATTGGCACATGCGTGTACGTTTAGTTTCCGAGTTATTTTATATATTATCGTATGGGAATGGTCATTAGAACCATAATAAATATTTGTAATTAAATCGAAGAGTTATTTTGTAAATTAACCGTTCCCTAAATGTAAAAGAATAGATTAAGCGATAAAGTTAAAAATTAATTAAAGTTCGAAGTTGTTCTGAAAGCCTGTGACCATTCCTTTGTCGAAGACTTATGGTATTACGTGGAAGCAATTAGACTAGTTCGATAATAGCAGTTTGGCGGTTCCAAACTCGTAAGACGTCGCTGAAACTGTTATAATAAGCAAAACTTCGTAACTCCAGTCTCGAGAAGCGGCAAAACCGGTTACCAGATACGCGATGCAAATTTCTTCGGAGATACAAACGGATGGCTGTTGGAATTTTGATAATACTGTTGTTCCAGGAAACAGTAACCATAAGCTCGAACAAAAGTACACCATATTTTAGGTGTCCAAATGTGTATGTTGACAGTAGACTCAAAAATGATTTGGCACTCTGAAGAAGAACTTTACATGAAATTCAATCATAACCTAAAGATTCTTTTTCCAGAGATGATCAGTAGTACGAATGACTATCAGCATATTGCTAGATTTATACATTTCACTCTAAAATGCACTAACTAATAACCTTGCAAAATCTCCTGGAGAAGTTTCAGAATATGAATTATTATCTCGAATTATGACAACGCTTACATCCTCAAAAATGTATCAACAACACTCACTCTATCATTTCCACAGAACACATTTTCATTCCTCTAACTCACCATCGAATTACATTTTATTTCCAGGTTGTTCAACGATGTTGCTCTTCGGCCTGTTCCTGCCTCTATTGGCAGCCGCTCCCCTGAACCCGTCTCTGGAGAACTACATCTTAGACATCCAGAATGGAACCCTGAAGAACATCCGATTCAAAGGTGACGCCATCGAAGAGCTCAATCTCTCAAACATGGGTATCCGCAGTTTGGAGAAGAGCGCTCTAGACGACGTGCCCAACTTGAAATCCTTGAACCTGGCGAACAACTCTTTAGAGTCGCTTCCAGAGTTCGTCTTCTCGAACTTGACGAATCTGGAATACCTAAACCTGGCCGAGAATAAGCTATCCTGTCTGGAGAACCTGTTCGTTCATCTGGAGAAGCTTCGAGTCCTCAACATCTCCTGCAATCCCGTGATGCACCTTCGCAGGGGTCATCTGTTCGGTTTGACCAAATCCACGACGATCCTGACAGAGGGGAACGTCTTCTGGAGCATCAGCACTGGAACGTTCACGAACTCGTTCCTGAAGAACGAGGAGGAGCTGAAGCAGCTCGAGAAGATGAAAGCGGAGGCTGACATCCAGCAGAAAAAACAAGAAAAGGAGAAGGCGATGGACACGGCCGAGGACAAAGCATTGAAGCTCGAGTGCCAGCTGTCAAATAAGCTCACGTTCAAGGAAGGGCAAATCTTGAAGTTATGTATGCCAGACAAGATAATTCTCTCGCTGGAGCCTTTGGAAGAGGGCAAGAAGATCGCTGAAGGAGCTCCGTGCGTAGAAGTGCCGGTAACCGGTGGAGGAAAGAAGGTGAGTCTTCGTGGCTTGGGCATTAAGGGCTTCCAGGAGCGCTGGTACCAGCTGGACTACTTCACAGTAGTCTCCCTGGACCTCTCCAACAACGATATAACGGAAATCACCAAGGAGATGCTCAACGATCTTCCCGAGGACGTGATCTACGTGAACCTCATGGAGAACAAGATCAAAGCCATCTATAGCCAGGTGATCGAAAACAGGCACCTCAAGCTGCTGAATCTTAAGAACAACCTCATCGAGAACATCGAGGAAGGAGCTCTCCAGAAGACGAACCTAACCGGTCTGTTCCTCGCTGGCAATCAACTGGAGCATCTCTCCTTCGTCTCCAGCCTACCTCAATCCCTGACGGAGCTCATGTTGCTCGGCAATCAGATCTATTCCATCCCCGACCAAGCTTTCGCGAACCTTCCTCGGTTGGGTTACTTGAACCTCGCCAACAACAACATCAACAAGCTTCAAAACCATGCCTTCAGAGGCCTCGACTCTCTTCGAATGCTGATCCTGACTAGCAACAGTCTGTCGGAGATAGAACGGCTGGCGTTCAGCGACCTGAAGCAGCTCGAGACGCTCAACCTGAATCGAAACTCGCTGACAGAGCTGCAGAGGGGCACGTTCGCCGAGCTGGAGAATCTGAAAGATCTGAATCTGGCGTGGAACAAATTCGAGAAGATCACCAAAGACACGTTCGCCTGTCTGCCATTCACGTTGGACTTCTTGCACGTCGACTTCAACGAGATCAATAGCTTGGAAGAGGGTAGTTTCGTGGGTGTTCCGCGGTTCACTTTGTCCCTGGCTGGCAACAAGATCTCTAGTATTCCAAGAGGTACATTTAACCTGCCAACGCTGAGGGACCTGCACTTGAATAATAACACGCTAACGACCATCGATGGAGATAGCTACGAGGGTCTTCCCCAGTTGACCCGCCTCTGGCTCACCGAGAACCAGATCACGACGATATCCAAAGGCTCCTGCAAGAACCTGGCCACCCTGAACGTTCTGGACATCTCCAGGAATCCGTTCCAGCGACTGGAGAACGGCGCCCTGTACGGTCTTAGCTCGGCCAGAGGCAATTTCCTCTACATCTACAACAACCACCTGAAGGAGCTCCAGGGTGGAGTGTTCGACGATGTTTAATTGAATCGCGTTCTCCTTATCGAGACTGCGCGCAGCCCAGATCGCAACGAGATTTATGCGTTCACTTTCTACGATGCTGCGATATGAGACTCGGCGGACGAGGATCTCCTACCGGTTGCGCTCCAATTGCGGGAACGCGCAACCTCTGTAATCGACGCTGTTAATTACAATCGTTGAATCTTCCGACGTTTGCGCTTACATGTTTCACGTGTTTACACTTTCATTCGTACCATATCCTTATCACACCGCCGCTTTGTACGTTATCGCACGACTTATCAGTTACAAACGCGAAACGTATCCACGGATGCGGCACGAGAGCTGTCTTAATAAACGAGTACTTACGAAAATTGCGTTGTCTTTTGAAAAATCCTTAGTCCCTAGTTATAGATATTTGAAGAACTAAATCGAAAATGTGGAGTACAATTCTTTTGTTCGGAGCTTCACTTCAGAGAAAATCAATATTGAATAGTGGAATGAACTCGGCGAGCCCGTCCGACCATTACTCACTATTTTTACTGGCGTTGCTGACTGCAAATATTGACAGTGCTATCATCTGCTTCAACTGACTCGAACGGATCAGAAGATGGTAAGATCTACCGGAAGGAGATAAGCCTACCACTACCAACGTTTAGAGACACCGACGCAAGTAGAAACATCGAGTAATGGACAGACGCATCAAACGAGCAGCATTCGATCTACCCTCCAGCAATTTTACAAGTCGATTCTCTTGAAAATAAAACTTGGTAGCGACAAATTTTATTTTACGTTTTGGACTCGTTTTTTCATGAAGAATTATTCCTTGCAAATTCATGCTATATAGCATGAGAATTCTTTTTACAAATAACGGCCAAATATCCAAAAGATTTTCAGACTAAGTGTCTGAAGAAAATGTCGTTAAACAGGGGGACCGTGGCATAGTCGCTTAATGACAATGAAGGCCTCCGAGAAAGGCGCGGCGCTATTTTCATAAACTGGTTTCCCGTTCGCTTTCTCCAGTACGTGACTATACCGCGGATATATATGTAAATGTATAACGTATGGTGGATAACACGAAGCTTGTGGTTTACGACTGGCTGGCCTTGACTTTCGCGCGAACCTTGGGACTGTGGGATGCGACCGGATTCGAAGATCGACACACTTTGCTCTCCCATTGCGAACCCTAATTTTCTGGGCACAGAGCAGATATTACTTAACACTTTCTTAACACTGCAAAGTTCCCTTCCATCTTGAACGATAATTTGAGCCACGAGATGACTATTCTTCTTCTGATCATATTAGGGTTACTTTTTACTCGCAATTCGAAACTTTTGTTTAGATATGAATCTCTTGGGATTGCCATCGGCACCGTAGGCGCCATATAATGTAAAGCAAAGTGTTGGCAACCCCATTAACAAGATCGTACATTCCCATCGCTAAATGTACAAGCTTTACAGCGCTGACAAAGAAGCGCATTCTCACGTGCCAGCCGCTTCTCGTTCCATGACGAAGGTCCCAAGCAATTTCGTGGCACTGACACTGTATACCCGGTGTTCACCACTTCCGGTTTGGCAACGGTACCTCTTAAGGTTATCGAACGTGCACCAAGACTACCGTCTGACGTCTCCGTGGACACGGGTCGACAGGTGAGAATTTTTTGTCGTTCGACACAGGCATAATTCACTTGGTAAACATCTTAAATGCGACTTATGTAACGGCAGGATTACAGCCACGATTAGCGTCGTCCTGCAGAGTCAAGGCACACGAAAGTCGTTTCAAGCTATCGCTGCCAATCAATCGTGGCTTGAGACTAAAAATAATCTTCGTTGGTTAGCCTTAAGCCATGAATTACGTTATCAAAATTTTCATTCTTTATACCAAGCTTTATTTTAGTGATGTTCCAAGTGCTTGGATAAAGTCATTTTGAAAATCTCTAAATAATGGCATTATACGTTGACTCTTTAATGAGTTCATACACTATTCGATCGATGTCTTTAACTAATCAGTCTAAAATTGATATCATCAGTTTATCCCGAAGCGTAAAAATAATTCTCAGCGACACCTGGCTGAAAACAGCGTCTAATCAACCAGGGAGTCATGACTATATGGCTGACTTCACCCCTACGGTATAAATGGAGAACGCTGTTCCTGAGATCACCATTGGCACGAATATAGTTTGCGAACGTTTCTTGAGAACATGGGTAGGGCTGCAAAACTTTCTTAAGAAAACATTCCAGTTGTACGGCTCTCAATGACAACTGACGCAGATAACAAGAAAGGACATAAGATTTATAGCTTCTTTTCTAGAACATTACGTCTCCGTAGGTTTAACATGCCCGTCTCCTTCGTGTTCTACGGGCCAAAGCTGCTCGAGATCAGCGGAAAAGGCCAGACGAGAGTACATTTATTAAAATTAGATCTGTTTCCTCTTGAATTTCGTGATTCTCACGTGTTCTGGGATCTCGAACAGCCCTGATATAGATACGGCTGCCGTAACAACTGGGATTAGGCTACACGCAATCAACACGCCCACACGGTCTACGGACTAACAACCTAACTGTATTCGTACGATACAGAGCTGAATAAGGACCATGTATCGGGGCTAGAATTGCTCGAGGAATATTACGAATGAACATGGAATATTCGAGCATGGAGCAGGCAAACTTCGTTTAATTTATTAATTGCCTCTACTTACTTAAGTGTTTAAACAAGTTTTAGTCTTTGGTTCATTCTTTATTCTAGCTTCTGAATTTAGCTAGAAATGGTCTCATTCACTGTCCATTGCACTTAAATCTCAGAAAACTCTAAGTAAAAGATTGCAAATGACGAATTGAGATCATGAAATTCTTAACCGATGAATGCATGTTCATTGCTTGTGTCACGTGTACGAGGAACACGGCAAGAATTTCGCCAGAGTCGATGATCGGAGAGAATGTGGGACACTGGGCTGAACAAAAGGAGCAAAAAAGTAAAACGGCTGCAATCGAGTCCCGAGCGGATGGTAACCCAAAGAAAGGAACGTTTCCAGGAGAAAGCTCCAAAAGTCGAGTTCGATGGCCCTGATCTCCACGTACCTGCGTACGATGCGTTCTAGAATGTTCTTGGGGTAACGCATTTCGCGACTAGACGTCCCATTACGGTACAGTTTTGATTGGGTTGAATTCGATGACCCATAGGAAACGCAAAACGACAGTACGGTACCGACAGATGTCTGGATAATGGACCAAACGCGACTTCTTTCGCCTACGGGATGCGTCGCGAAAGTGGAACGAATCTAAAAGAACCTCTATCTTCCTGTGACCCCGTTCGTTTCATAAATCTACGTCTTTGAGAGAACGAGGAAAATTTTGTGACTCCCACGTTGGACTGAACAGCCATCCCACGATAAATTCGATGTTTATTCAAACAAGGAATGGAAAATGAATGGATCTGTCGGATTAACTTTCTTGAAACGCTGGAATAATATAATTTGTGAAACGAGAGAAACTTCGCCATCCGTCTGGGCTGAATTAGCGTATTGATGTATTAACGATGATAAGTAAAAATAAAATGGAATGGAACGTTTCGTTTTATTCGAGACGATTCGTTGCCCCCTTCGACCACGAAATATCGTTTCGTTAAATGCCGAGTTTTACGAGCACGGGTCCAGGAGAAAAAGTTTGTTACAAGGGGAACATCGAGGTCAACGAAAACCGGTTTAAAAACCCACTGAGTTCATCTGGGGCATTACGATTAATTCTTTGCACTCGAGGGGCGACTCTTGAATCCATTGGATTTGAAATTAGCGACCAAACGAGATGACGGAGACGTGGCTTTTTCCTTTCACTGACAACGAGCAGCGTGGGCGAGGTAAAAGGTCTTCCGATATTTCGCGGACGGAAAACGTCGTGTATCATCCTGGAAGCGCACAATGACACATTTGCATACGCGAACAAGATGGAAAATGCGATTAGCAGTACACGAATTAACAACGAAACTAGTGGAGCGTAGAAGTTGCAATGAAATTCATCTTCCCTTCTTTGTATAATATATTATTTGTGATTTTAGTGCTCAGAAAGGAGAACCTATGATTTCCTCTAAAAAAAAAAGCGAATTAAATAACGTTTAATCGATTCATTGATCAGGATGACTCAACGCTCCATTAATTATCGATACTTCAAAGGTTTGGTTTGATATTAATAATACAGATCAGAAAGTTACACGCGATTGGAAGATCGATGGTTGTTGGGTGATCGCGCGGCTAAAAATAAGCATTTGCAACGAATACGTTTGCTAGTAAAATGCTATTCTTTTAAGAACGGGAGTCACTTCTTTTCTGTAGTTCGATTCATGTACTATAATTGAGCGTAAGCTTGTTTTAATCGAATACAAATATGTACTTGAATCGAAACGATTATCTTAGATTAAATATTTCTTGGAAGCACACTTACCTTTATCTGCAATGTGGTTGGATATCTGTTACCATGTGTCGTGATATGATGCAACATCCACTTTTCAGCGAAGATTTCCTCCACATAATTTGTGAAGTACCCAACTTCCCAATTCACGAAAAATGATGTCACATTTCAAGATACGAATTCCGTTTTTGAGACGGTCCTCCAAGCGCGTTGCTTCAACATTCCGCATTCTTAATACGTCTTCTTTAAATTCAGAGGGTCTTGCATCTGAAAAACAAACCAATCGTTAAAAAAGGAAGAAACGTTATTTAAAATATTTTATTTAAACAGTGGCAGCGGCTTTAACTACATCTCAGCATTTCTGCAATATGGAATCACTGCTCTAATTAATTTAAACAACAAAATCTACGACTATTCAGTGTTCCTAACAGTGTCTCTGGCATCGATCGCCAATGAAAAGTTGTCGTCCTTTTACGCGAAACACGATACTGCTTGCAAAACTGTAGCCCGGTATTTCTGTACCAGCAAAACTGGACTATGGCTTGAATTACACCAGACATCATGTCGTACGATTTCCAAGATCGTAATGCACGATGAACACCGGAGTTGATGAAACTTCCTTCATGTAGACCGAGCGATACGCTTGTGATATGCAATATACGTTTCATTTGCGAAAGTCTTCGCGTCTTTTTTAAATTACTTCACCACAGAACTGTTCATTTCAAGGTTCCGCGATACTTGACATCGTTAAATGCAGTGCAAATATCGCATTTATAAATGTATAGCACTTGTTTCAATGTAGAAATAAATACAGCTTTAGTACACCCTGGTTGGTAAAGCCAACTAAATTTTTTAGTCTTCTTCAGTAACATGAAAATGAACCAAATAGTATATTGTTGTAAAAAGAACTATGTAGTATAAGATAATGTATTTTTTAGATATTATATATTGTAAGTATACATCTCTAACTTCTTAATTATAAATAAAGTATGCACGTAAAATCTGTGTCACCTTATTAGGTTTTAGGTTGTAGCCTGATTATGATTATTGCGCATGATGGTATCCATGTCCTCGATGTCTTTGATCAATTACTCTAAAAATGCGCGTTTTTCTTTAGCGTAATCTGAAGCCATGGTACACGGTCGGAGAATGCGGAAATGATGGCGAAATTTCATGTTAGCGGCACGCTGAAACAAGAAAAGCTGCCTTCGCGCTTTTGTTCGATTCGCACAAAAATCATCGCTCAAATAGATATCCGTTTTTCGTTAATTCCGATAGGTTTACAATAAATAGGGTAACATTTATATTGCAAAGCTAACAGAAACAATAATTTATTATAATAATATATAACAAAAATGACAATAGAATATTAGAGTTATTTATCATTTAAAAATTACTTAGAGTTACCTTAAAAATTAGTTAAAATTAATTGTATTTCTATTCGTAATATTCACAGTACAAAATATGAGTCTTGTCAAAAAGAAAATTCGAAGACCACAATTAAAACTATTATATAGATAACACTTATTTCAAGCACACGATCAATATTAATCACTCAAATAAATGAAATTTGAAAATTCGAGCAAGTGTTAATGAACGACAGTCGTTCCCATAGATTTCCGTAGCATATGCAAATTAATGCTGGTGATGACAAAAGCTCTCGTTATGGTCATCGAGTACGATTCCCAGGGTAACGTATGAAACACGATTCAGCACGATTCAATTTCACTTTCAAACACAAGTCCGAAAGTAATTCTAGCGTACAACATTGTGCAGGCTCGTCCGCGTGTTGGATGACAAAAAATCGCTTTACAGATCGACTTTCGTAGAAACGCAACACCGAACCTGTCGACGGATGATTTACTTAGATCCATCATCGGCAAAAATCGCTAATAGCGAGCAAACCTCTGGATCGTGAATCACATTATCTACCTTCGCTTTTAATGGCTTTTTTCGGCGTAAAACGTGTCCCGTTTTACAAATGATTGTCGTAATTCGACAAATTACTGTGATTTGCGGATGGCAATTGAATTGTACTTTGCAAATCGATCCAAACTGTCTTTCGTTTTTATAAACGAGCGAAAGTCGGTGTTGGTTCTCTTCGTAGTCTACTTTTCGGTAGAGAAAACTTAATATTCTTAGCGTCTAATCGAAAATGAATTCTGATGTGGAACAAGTAATAAAAGATTTTTATTGGTAAACATTCGTTGTCGAGTAGCGGACATGTTGACATTGTGTATGTAACGTAAGACATTAATATTACGGTGGGTTTATGTCTTGAATGACGAGTACAGAATTAAATTAACCTACTCCGTGTAACTGAGTTCATAGTGGTGATGTCATTGAACTTTCAAGGGAATGGAGTAAGGATACCAACAGAAAACAGACATGACTGAGCCATATGCACTTACTCAGCATTACAAATGCATATTTTTGTACGTATTTTGTGTTAGAAGGTTCCTTGAGGGGACTTAACTAAGGGAAGAATGTTAACAGAACTGTAGTCATTCAATCACTGGTATAGGCTATACCGATCACTGGGTACTGATAGAGTACTTAATGCGAACAGGTGGACGGATTCAGTTGGCCGACTTATGATTAACGGTTCTCCGATTTAGCTTTATTTATAAGCTCATTTCTCTGTTATATGTATACATACAATAGTAAGCAGATTCACATTTATAATATACACTCAAGTATTGTATTTAAAATATGGTTCAATTTCAAAGCAAATGCTTTGAAAGTATAGTCTTTATTCAAATCTTACATGGAATAAAAGTGACAATATTAAAAAAAGGATGAACAATCTGGTTCATTGCTATACTTAAATGTAAACATAAATTACAATGACTGTAATTTAAAAAGCCGTTTGAAGTAGGTTTTGCATATTTTGCGTAAAACATTATAAAATATTATGATGCAATTATCACGATGCTTTGTAAAATATGATCAGTGATCCTGATCAACAGACAAAATTGAATAACATGGGATATTGGTAGCAAGTCAGCGCGTGACGCTACACTACAAACACATCAACTACATTGAAGTAGTTAAAATTCACGGAGGCTGTGAGTCGTTTGTGTTGTCATCATCTGGTAAAACTACGTGTGACGGTGGTTCTTCTTCGAATATACCTTCGTCTACCTCATTGTCAGAAATGGTTAGTTCCTCTGGATATTTATAACTGTTACTTAACTGACTAGATGGTACCACTTGCTCCTAAAATTTCACTTATATGTTAACTTACAAAATTTAAAACTCATTACATAAGTAGAAGAAAATTCTTCTTATAGCATTGATTTATTCACCTCAAATTCTGTGTTCGTATCCTGCAGTGGATTATCACGTTCGTAATCAAACATATCTTCTTCAAGTTCCTCCAAAGGATGAAGCGGTAACCGCCTGGAACCTTCGTTTAAATTCATAGTTACTTCTGGTTCACCTACAATTTTATACAAATATATATATCTTATTATTCATTACCATTGTACAATTTGTCTGTGCTTACGGAGCGGATCTTCTGTACGACTATCCAATTCAAGATATTCCGTTAATCTGTAATTAATATTACTGTTGTCGTTTCCACAGAAGAACGCCTCGTGATTATTCCGATTTTGCAATGCATCCATACCTCCAGTCTACTTCAGCTAACAGTACACTCAAACTGGATGGTCTGAGAAATATATATACGCACTAAAACACCAACACGGTTATGTGCACTCAAATCGATGGTGGTATTTTTGTAATTGAACGACTCGTGAGAAATTACGATTACGTAAATGGATCATTTGACGCGAATTAGGAAAATTTTCTTTGAACTATAACATCTAGCTGTTGCATGACAGCAATGAATATTTCGTGATGACATGGATCTCGTGTATCTTTTTTCTTCGAAATTCATCGTCACGACCAAATGACTTCGATTAGAGTGACGATATCAGAACTCTACGTCCTTTGATCTTTTTATTGTTAAAACACACACGTTTATTAACGTTTCGTTTTTAATTGAATTGTGAAATCTAAAATATGCTACGTCACGGTCGTCAACACGACGTATTCACTGAACTCTTAACTTAACTCACCTTCGATGAAACGTCGTCTCCGTGATGCGAATAATGCTGAACAATGTGGACTCTATTTAAAATCTGTCGACACAATTGGAGACGAAAATCACAACAATATTAATATTGATGAACAAAAAACGAAAGATCACGGACCGAACAACCGACTGAATGCCACAATTGGCCACAATCAGACATATGCGCATGCGCCGCTGTAATTGGCGGGCGCGCGTAAAGTAGCGCACTATTCAAATGAATTTGTTGACGTTTCAGTTATGTTAAGTTCTCAGCGATCAGATTAAGCGTCTTTCACAAAAATAAAAGTGATATTACCCAACTTATTAACAGTTACACAGTATTATTTATAAGGGAGGCACATTTATATATTTAAAAATAGTTTACTTCATATAATTTCCAAAGTTTTTCTCCATATTTATATTACATAAAGGTTGTTCGATATAAAGTTACATAAAAAGAAGACTGCATGAACAATGCCAAAGTATTTACCATGGAAATTAATCGTATCCACTCTATTCTAATGTAAAAATAGTAATTTGGGAATATTTATTAATACTCTCAATTCAGGCGTATTACTAATAATAAAACGGTACGTTCAACTAAACTATATTAAAAGCTCCAACAATATTTTGTATCTGTGTGTATGTATGTCTTTTAAAGATTTCGATATTAAAAGCATGTACTTGTTGTGTCGAGTCTAGTCAATAATCTTGTCACTTTATTAATTGTCATGAAAAAAAAAAATATATATATATATGTATATAATATAGGAATACAGAATAATAAAATGACCATACCTTAAAGAATTTAGGGTAGATGCAAAGTGTGATTCAGAAACGTATCTGCAAGTACAAAATGAAAGCTACACAAATAGACGCCAAGACTGGATTGGATTTCACAGAAGGATCGTCGAATTTTATTTTCGCGCGTTTGATGAACCGATTTAAAGCTAAACAAACATATCAGTGTTAATTGCGGTTAAGAAATTCGAAGCTTTTCTTGGCAACATTTACCTAATACACCAAGCGATCGTCGTGAAACATATAATACAACCAAACCTGTTCTCCGATCATCTGAAAAGCTATTTTTCTTAATTTTTCTTCTTTTCAACGAGAGCGAAAGAAACGATCACAGATTATATTTCTATCACCCATTTCCTCCCTACATGCAGCCGTTATCACGAGAAGAAGAAACTTTAATGACAAAGTTAGTTCAAAGTTAGTTCAAAGAATATCACTGGTATCAATGGATCTCTTTCCGACTACTCAAACGTTTGTTCTTCAATGTAAGAATCCCTACATTTTACGATAGTCGTTATTCACTTTTATTACTCTATTTTTTATCTTGCCAACGTGTTTACGAGTAGCCTCAACGAAACGCTGACCTCGCTGCTGCTTTATGAAACCGTGTAATACTACGAACTTAATGAAATAATTTTTTTTTTTATCTCCGCGACTCTCTGTCCCATTCTGCTCCTCTAGTTAGTACCTGGTCGTGGGTTTGCCACCGAGACTTGGAAAAATGCAGGATGCGTGAGGAAGAATTCGTGTTTGGATTTCCTGAAATGGTACTTATTCTTTAGGTCACAGAAACTGATCAAACATGCTTCGAGGTGTTCTTTTCGTTTTTTTTTTTTTCAGGGACATTCGCTTCGACCGGGTACGACGAGGCATTGCTATCCGATATGCGCTTGAATATGAAATTAACAAGCGCAATCGCAAGCGCAACGACGGACGCGCTTCTCGCGACGGTGGACGAACGCATCAGGAATGGAGCGCACCGAACGCGGTTGCATATCTGCGAACAAAAACAAACAATTATTAATTGGAACTAACAATATACGAAGTATAGCAACGAATAGAATTCCTAGCTTACAGTGTGGGCGGCTCTCCTCTTCCTGTTCTTGTGGTTGCTGCTGTTGGTGCGGCTGCAAGTGCTGCGGTTGCTGCTGCTGCATCATCATGTGTGTTTGTTGCTGGTCCTGTTGTCGCTGCTCCGATTCTTGATCGGCGTTTTGTCCGTCGGTGACTTCGGCACGGGCTTCCACGGGTATGTCCAAAGATTCAACAGGTCTCAACGGAAGAGCGAATCTTGGCATTGGGAAAGCGTTGCCCTCCACGACCTGGGGATTAAAAATAATTCTAAGTTGATAAGCGGTATCGTCGAGTGACTTAATAAAATATTAGGTTGTCCCGAAAGTTACTTTCGCGAGTTGCATTCAATTATTTGATGTGGTCGTGTTTATATAAATAGACAATCTAATTTCATAGATATTCATGTTGTAACAGTAATGGAGCAAAATGAATCGTGCACAATTCGGTAATGTAACATAAAACATAAAATATTGTGCATGTATATATACTTATTAATAAGGCGAAAGAAACTTTTGGGACAACCTAATATATCGTTGAGAGGAAATTGAATATATTCGGCAGGAGAAATGTAATTGAATGTGAGAGTTCTAGAAGTGTATAGATGAAAATAGCATCTAATAGAAATTACGTGTTACTGATGTGTATATCTTAAGAAAATAAAGAATAAAAAAAGTTAACTGGCAGCGGTGGGATTCGAACCCACGCCTCATTGAGACTGGTGCCTTAAACCAGCGCCTTAGACCGCTCGGCCACGCTACCTCGTATTCCCCGATGAGAAATTCGAGTACACCAATTTTTAATTATACCTTGCATCAAATTTTTTATCATAATACATAATATATGTATAAATCATAATATATAAAGATCAACAACGTAACACCTGTAACTATTCCTTTCAAGAAAGGA